ATTTAGTTTTCATAACAAGTGTTAAAATTTAATTATTTTGTAGGCGATAGTTATGACAAATTTCGTTACGTAACTCGGTAGGAGTTTAGTTCAATTGTTATTGTACTGTTGACGTCATCTTTCTCGAAACCTCTAAGTTTTTTTCTCCATGTGAGCATTGTTACATTATAGCGTCTCCTAGTTTGCAGAAAATTCCAAGCCTCAGTTGGGCAAGGTATATAGATGACCAAGTGAGCTCAAGTTAAGTTCAGTATAGAAAAGTTAGAAAACGTGAAGTTAGCCGTCGTGTGAGTGATTAGCCTTAACGGGTGATATCTTAAATTGAGTTTCACAGTTTAACAGATTGTTAAATTTGTTCCCAACAAGTCACAGACACCTACTGTAGAAGAACCCCAGCCTACTAATATTTAAAACCCTGACATTTGGCGAGCCAGCCAAGATTATATAGTTGTACAAGACGACATGAACGACAGCGAAGTAGGCCTATATATGCACAAGTGCAGTGGTGACGAAAATAGTGTAGGGAGTACAATCAAGCTGTATAACCATGTCAACAGATTTTGATAAGTGGATGGAAAGAGGTGAGCATCTTGGGTTAAAAGACAGTCAACTACGAGAGTTTGTTATAAAAAACAACAACAAGAACTAGAGAGAGAAGAGTGGCAACAGAAGAGAGAGAGGAAGAAAGACTAAAAGAAGAAAATGGAAGAAAGGAAAGATTGGAAATAGAGAGAGAATATGAGCACAAATTGAGAAAGAAGAAATATAAAGAGAGGAGAGACTGCAAATAAAGAGAATAATAGCACAAATTGAGATCACCAAGCTCGCTCAACAGAAAGAGGAAGTGTCCATGGATGATAATTGGGTCAGGGCCAACCGACCCAAGCAGCCCAAATTTGATGAAGAGAAAGATGACGTGTATGCTTTCCTGGAGAGATAAGATTCACTCAAAATCGGAATTGGGACAAAGGCAACTGGACAATCTGTCTCAGCCCACTTCTCACAGGAAAAGGCCTACAAGCTTATGCATCGATGATGTCAGAAAATGCCATGGACTATGACAAGTTAAAAGTGGCCTTGCTAAAATTCTAAGAACTTATTGAAGAAGGTTTTCATTGGAAGTTCAGAGAAGTCAGACCTGACACTAGAGAAAGTGTGTTTCAGTTTGTAGCGCATCTATGGCGATACTTCACAAGCTGGACTGACATGGCCAAGTGTGGAAATAGTTTTGAGGGATTGCCAGATCTACTAATACATGAACAGTTTGTGATCAAGTGCTCAACTGACATGTCACTGTTCCTAAAGGAAAGAGCACCAAAAGATGTGGAGGAGATAATCAAGCTGGCAGAACAGTATATGGAAGCCCATGGAGGCAGTATAACAGGCAAGTCCAAGAATATTCAGTTAAAGTCGAAACCAGTGGTGGCTGACCAGGAGCGGAAGTCTACAAAAGGTGACAGGAGATTAACAGACAAATGGGAGAAGAGATGCTTGTTTGTTATAAAATAGGACACATTGCAAAGGAATGCAAGTCCATCACCAACAAGCAACAACAGAAATCTCAACATAAAGCAATTGGATCTCCTTACAAAGATGGTTCTGGTAAGAAACAAGAAAAAAGTGACTGTCACCATGGGTGCTGCTGTAGGACACATTGCAAAGGAGTGCAAGTCCATCATCAACAAGCAACAGCAGAAATCTCAACATAAAGCAGCTGGAGCTACTTACAAAGATAGTGCTGGTAAGAAACAAGAAAAGATTGACTGTCACCATGGATGCTGCTGCCAGAAGAAACAGAATCAAGAAAACACAAGTCAGATTCATCACAAGAAGGGAGTGGCATTTCCATGATCGATCACTGCATAACTAATGGTTGGCTCAAGTTAGCAAATGGACCAACAGCATGTTACAGATATTGAGAGGTGTCAACAAATTACAATATGTGAAAACTATGTTGGGGACAAGAAAGTGAAAAACCAACAAGACACTGGGTAGTGCAGCAGTGAGAACCAGTCTAGTATCTGATAACCAGATGACAGTCAAGGTATACCTGTGTGTGATAATTGATGGGATAGTGAGAAAGTTTCTCATAGTAGAAATAAAGGTGGATATTCCATATTATGTAGGAGACCTTGAAGCTATGTGTATCAAGGCACCAATATACGATTTAGTGATTGGAAACATACCAGATAGTAGAAATTTGGAGGAACTGGACAGAAAGAAGACTGATGTGGCATCTGTAGTCACCAATAGAGCTCAAAGGAAGAAGAGGAAGCAAGATATCAAGCCTCTCAAAGTCTCAAAAAAGTGACATCCTGAATGCAAGTCCAGGAGAGCTGAAGAAAGCACAGAAGAAAGAGCCTTCACTGCAGAAACTTCAGGACAGTACCCGAGAGAAAGTGGAGCACAAGACAAGGAGGAAAGACATTTACAAAACTGATGAATGGAAAGGAGTACTGAACTGTACCTATTAAAGCAGTTCTACTGGGGAAACCAAACCCATCAAAGGCAGTCAGAAACACTTCTGTAATAAGATGACCAAGAGTCGACATTTCAAGGTCGGACAGAAGGTTTTAGTTATGCTACCCACAGCCAACAATAAACTCACCCAGCAGTGGAAAGGACCTTTTGCTGTACAGGAAGTGGTCAGCAGAATGCACTGTAAGGTGAAAGTGGATGGGACGACCAAGGTCTACCATGCCAATCTGTTGAAGAGGTAAATGAGAGGGAGGAAGACCTTACAGGTGCATATATTGAGGTACAGATGAACATGGCAGGTTTGGTTGTCATAGAAGCAGAATCTGAAGACAGTGACTTAATTATAGAAGATATCATTTGGGTTTGGTACACCTTATTCCTCTAGTCACTTTGTAAAGTAGACCTACCACCATGACATAGGTTTGTATAATTAAGTTACAGTAGAAGGCCAAGATGGAACCACGGCTTGTTTTCCTTTCCTTCCACAATACAGAGTGCAGGTTTGGCATCACAGGTTGGAAATACATATCTCGGTACTATTTTCAGGCACTATTTCCCCAAATCCTTCTTAACACCACTAAAGATACAGGCTGTCAGAAAATAACAATTTTGAAGTGCTTTTGTTACAGTGGTCTTGGTAGTATTAACTGTGGTTACTTATTGGATATCTACGCTTTCTGTTGTTGCACACTGAGAATTATACAACATCAGCAGACGATCGGGAGCTGTTGTTTCTCAAGTTAGCCTTTCGAACACATTTGTTACTCACTACATTGTAGTGTCAATATTGGTTTCTTTAATCAAATTGTTTTTTAGACTCACTTAAATTTTACTCCCGGTTGACAAACTGCACTATTTTATTAATGTTAAAACTGTTTGATAAAACTCTCAAATAATTCTTGAATTTATACAAGAAGTCTGTTTTTCATGAACTTTCTTTTACTTTGAAACCATCATGTGTAACAACTTTATTTGGTTCTAATATTACCATTACCACTTCTGGACCACATTAGTCCACCTTCTTATTTGATCTGAACAGGCAGTTTTCCATTCTTTTACTGTTTGGCTAATGTTTTTTTTGATAAGTGTATTTAATGTAGTAAAGTGTTTGAATTGAGTACATCCAATTCTTAAGCTTTATATGTAGCATAGACAGAAATCTATTAATATAATATAGTATCTGTGGAAAAGGACCTTCCTAAAAATTCCACACAGGTCTTATTTAATTATAGTGTTTTGGCACTCCTGAGGATGACGTTGTAATATCGAAACATGTAGAGTCGTCAACTTTTCGAAGGCCATAGATAGGCCTAAATAAAATGTTTTTAATTGTGTACCAGTTAATGTTGAAAATTATTTATGATTTTAGGACTTGTTTAGTTTGAGAAATAATTG